GGTGCCTGCGAGGACAGACTTGTCTGTGTTGAAGGAAGAAGCAACGGGACCCTTTGCCGGATTCTCACGTTAACTTAGATGGAAGCCGATAGCACCTAATCAGCTGCAAAATGTGAAGGCCATGCTGTTTGCATTCCCCACGTTTGAGGTACAGAACAGGCGTGTTTGCCCTGATGCTGGCTGTCTTCCTTCTTTCCACATAAAATAGCCTGGACTGGTGTCTGGGCTCCATCTTTATGAGTCTGACATGACGTAAAATTAAATTTTTTTCGTTGTGTTCCTGCTGGCCCGAACTCTAAACCTTATTTTGTTTTGTTTGTTTAAAAAACAAACAAACGAAAAAAACCCACCAAAAAACCCCAAGCAACTGTCAAGGAAATAACAGTTGTTGGCCTCATGTGTTCACTTACCAAGGGTAGTTGCCAGTGTTTTAGTTTGTGAACCAAGCTGTTTTCTAGCCAGATACTCCTTAGATTTTGACACTTTATACTGTATTGCACTCAAGCCAGTTAAATAAAATTAGGGAAGACTCCCAGCCAAAACCAGAATTCTGACAACAATGAGGTCATTAAAAATAAATGCTAAAGCATATAAGTCATTGTGGGTTCAGCCTGATCTGTTCTGTCAGCCTCCTGTTAAAAGTTGCTGAAGTCACCCACGATAACCTTCCTGCCTCCAGCAGGCTTTGGCCCAGTGCCTTAGCAGACCCAGCAGCATGGCGTTCCCCACTACCTCCAAGAGGATTAAAGCGTGATGGCAGTTTCTTCACATACGCTTTTCTACTCCTTGCTCATTTCAGTCCCCTTTTTGCCATTTCTGGGCAGACAAAAGCAAATTCCCTTGTCACCTTCTTGGGTTGCGGTTGTGCCCTCTAAAAATGAGAACGCAATGAAATGTAGCTTTTGTCCCTGCCTGTGGCTACCGGAGCGTGGATATGCCTTGCGATTCTTCTTTGCACTGCAGACAGTGCAAACCCACCCCTCACATCATTTGAATGCTCGTTTAAAAACTCTCAGAAGGATTTTCCTAAACTTAAACTGATGGATGTCTTGCACCTGATGTCCATCCAGACCGATTGTATTTCTGGTGAGCACCATGTACGATACAGTAACTTTGCATGATCTGAAAAAATGGTGAGAACATCCAGGAGGCAAAGACTGTGCATGTGTGCCACGCATGGAGGCAGATGCAGAAGTGACCTGGTTTGGCTTTTGAGTGTGTGCTTTCTTGGTTTGTTGCCTTCTCTCCATCCCCGTTGCCTTGCTCCCTTTGGGAGAACTTGGCTACCACAACAGCAGCAGATTGCAGGAAGCCCAAGCAACCATATGATGCCCTGCGCTCTGCGGCTGTAGATTACGTGAAATACAGAGGATGCACTCAATTTATAGCGATGATGATGTACAGATTAGCGTTCTTGAAAGGCATTACTGTGTATTTGGAACGGGAAATGATGGCATGAACCACTGTGGATTAATATGATTAGCAGATGAAAAAATGCAGACTGAAGTTAGGCACCCGCTATCTATTGTATTTCAATGGGATTTGGCCACGTAACTCTCTGGAGCTGCTTCTGATCCTTCTCCCTATGGTGCACGATGTCTGTGAGCCGTTTGCTCCCTTATCTCCGTTCATATCGTTATCTGTTGGTGTCATGTCAGCAGCTAGTGCTCCCTCTGCAAGATCAAGGTCTCGGCTGCACCTGGCAGGGTTGTAGACCTGGAATTTTGCTGACGTTCATGGTCCTCCGGGTTATTTTGCAGTGTAAGAGTTTCATAAAGTGTAAGTTACATTTAGTCATGTTTATGAATAGTGACAGAGGAGTACAGAAACTGTCCTAAGTGACAGTCTAGCACTGAATCGTCAAGATGGTGTCAAAATCATCCACGATGATGAAATTCCCATCTCTAATCCTGAAAACAATATACTTGAATTATTTTTGAGCTTGAAAAGTTTTCATGGCTGAGGTTTTCACAGAAATTTTTGCAGCGAAGTTGTAATTAAATTCTGGCAAGTTAGAATCTGGGGTTTTGGAGGGTTTGGGAGATTTAAACCTGTTCCTGAAAAATTAAAACATGAGCAAAAAGCCAGAGGCCATTTTTATTGCTGCTTTCCCTCCAGAAAAAAATACTCTGGTCTCCTTCTGTCAGCTGGGCTTGAACAGTAAACTTCAAAGACAAGCAAAGCAGGAGGATCTGTTGGTGATGGGATAACAACTCTGTGCTTTGATAGGATTGAGACACTGTTTTTCTACAAATATTGGCCACTTCTCTCAGCTCTCGTTATAGCATCGTAGAACCATGGAATCGTTTAGGTTGGAAAAGACCCTTAAGATGATTGAGTCCAACCATTAACCCAGCGCTGCCAAGCCCACCACTAAACCATGTCCCTCAGCACCACATCTCCCCAGCTTTTCAATACCCCCAGGGATGGGGACTCAGCCCCTGCCCTGGGCAGCCTGGGCCAGGGCCCGCACGCGCGTTGTCTG